ATCAGAAAAGTGGTCAATTCATGAAACTGATCCTAGAGCTCCGTGGATTTTTCAAACCACTTATAGACGTCTTATCAGAATGTATTCGGAGTTGTGACCTTAAGTTGGACTCTGGGGACTACATGATGGTCCACCGGAAGATCCGGAACATCCGTAAAAGTGGTCAATTCATTAAACTGATCCTAGAGCTCTACGGATTTTTCGGAATCACTCATAAACGTCTTGTCAGAATGTATTCGGAGTTGTGTTCAGAAATAAGAATATGGAGACTACAGAATGGTCCACCTGAAGATCCGGAACATCCCTAAAAGTGCTCAATTCATGAAATTGATCCTTGAGCTCCACGATTTTTTAGAAAGCACTCATAGACATCTTATCACAATAAAAACGGAGTTTTGACCAGACAGTTTATACTGGGGACCACGAGATGGTCCATTAAAAGATCCGGAAGATCATTGCAAGTGTTTAATTCATGAAACTGATCCTAGAGCTCCACGGTTGTTTTTTTTTTCAAAACCACTCATAAATTAATATTAATAATAACTCAATAAGACGATGTTTTCAAATGGCTTATTGAATAAATTTTGATGTGATGAATTAAAAATATAAACTTTGAAGCTAGTCCCTCGTTAACTTGTAACTCCAATGAAACATCTCCAAGAAGTCAAAGGAAATAAGTCCATGAAATCCAAGGAATAATATTCAAAAATTCCGATAAAAGTGACTAAAAGTTATTAATTATTTAAATACCACTTAGAAATCATCCATGATAATAAATAAAAAAAAATGTGTCTATGAGCAGTTCTAAAAAACCATAGAGTGCTTAGATCAGTTTTCTTGACCTATCCACTTTAATGGATGTTCCGGATATTCCGAAGGACCATCCAATGGACCCTGGGGTGCATTTTCCAGTCATAACTCCGAGTTCATTCTGATGAGTTGTCTATTATTTTCCAGAGGAGCGTTCATGGTCTCCAGGGTCTGTTTTCCGATCATAACTCCGAATTCATAATTATAAGACGTCTAAACACTTAAATATTTTCACCGAGATTCCAACAGCCGAGTAATTCTGCAATTTATTTTACTGAGATTCAGTAAAACAATTGCCGAGACTCAGCTAACAAATAACATTTTGCTGAGCTGTCAGCTAACAAACAGATATTTTGCAGAGATATCAGCAAAAGAGAATGCCGAGATAATCGGCTTTTGGAGATTTTACCGAGCTAGATTAAATGTGTATGAGAGTTTACAAAAAAACGGAGTTCTTGGATCAGTTCCTTGGATTGAGCCTTTTTACGGATGTTTCGGATCTTTCGGAGGACCATCCACTGGTCCCAAAGCCGTATTTAGGAAGACAAAAATGTTTGCGCCCAAACCGTCAGCTTTAGGCATATAGTGTCTTCGGGAAAGTTTCTTCATATTGTTTGGCCGATCTTTTTATGTTAGTGAAATTAGGGTGGTTCACAAAATTGGAGCTTTGAAAAAACATACTTTTTTTTAATTATTTTAAATAGACCAATGCAATTTTCTAAAAGTTGTAGAACAATCAATTCGAAGCAATTTTGCTCAAGACACCAAATTGTTATCTCTTAAGGTTCATGAGTTATGATTTTTTAAACAAGCAGGTTAGAATGGCCCATAAAAAACAGATTTCTTCGAATATCTTTTCATAAGTTCATTTCTCGTAAAAACCTTGTTTCGGTTACATTTAGAACTTATGATGACGCATATTTTTGCTGAAGCAACCAGGCTGCAATCTTTTTTTATTATTAGAAAATTAATGGAGATTTTCTTCGAAAAAATGGTTCTATTAAAATGACAATGTCTCTAAATGGCGCAAACCGATTTTCAAACTTTCGATTTCATTTAAAAGATCGTGTTTTTTCAGTATTTGTGGGAAAACTGTGAGAGCGTTTTTTGTTTAAAGAATATAATTTAATTTAAAAAAATCTTTTTTTTTATAAAAAACTAGCCATTAATTAACCATAAGGAGATTCAAATTAGTGACTTCTGCAAAAATATGCGTCATAAAAAGTTCTAAAAGTATTTGGAATAATGTTTTTACGAGAGGTTAGGGTGGCCCCTAGAAAATCGGCTTTCTTTAAATATTGTTTATACGTTGATCACCAATAAAAATATTTAAAGAAAGATTTTCTAGGGGCCACTCCAACCTACTTGTTTAAAATAACCATAAGTCATGAACCATAAGAGATAAAAATGTGATGCCATGAGCAAAGTTGGTTCAAATTGATTGTCCTACAACTTAAAAAAAACTGCATTAGTCTATCTCAAGTAATAAAAAAGGTTGAAAAAATACGAATAAGCTTTTCCGAAGACACCATGTACCTAAAAGTTATGGTTTTGGTACTAATATTTTTGTCTTCATAAATACGGCTTTTATGGATGTTCAGGATCTTCCTGGTGAACCATCTCGTGGTCCCAAAGGTCCATTTTCCGTCTAAGCGTTCATATTCCGGTCACAACTCCAAATTCATTCTGGTTTCACAAACTCATGGAGCTCTAGGATCAGTCTCATGAATTGACAACTTTTGCGGATGTTCCGGATCTTTCGGTGGATCATCCTGTAGTCCCCAGAGTCCAAATTCTAGTCAAAACTCCGAATTAATTGTAATAAGACGTTTATGAAAGGTTTAAACAAAAACATGGAGCTCTAGGATCAGTTGCATGAGTTGACCACTTTTACGGATGTTCCGGATCTTCTTTTGAACCATCCTGTGGTCCCCACAATCAATATTCAGGTAACAACTCTGAATTCATTCTGATAAGACGTGTATGAGTGTTTTCGGAAAGTTCACGGAGTTCTAGGATCAGTTTCATAACTTTACCACTTTTACGGATGTTTCGGATCTTCCCGTGGACCATCTTGTAGTCCCCAGAGTCCATATTCCAGTCAAAACTCCGAATTAATTGTGATAAGACGTCTATGAGCGGTTTCGAAAAAAGAACACGAAGCTCCAGGATCAGTTTCATGAAATAACCACTTTTCAGGATGTTCCGGATCTTCCGGTGAACCATTCCATGGTCCCCAGAGTACATTTTCCGAACACAACTCCGAATTTATTGTGATAAGACGTCTATGAGTGGTTTCAAAAAATCCGCGGAGCTCTAGGATCATTTTCATGAATTGACCACTTTTACGGATGTTCCGGATCTTCCGATGAACCATCCCGTGGTCCCCAGGGCCCATATTCCAGTCACAACTTCGAATTAATTCTGATAAGACGTTTATGAGTGGTTAAAAAAAAAACCACGGAGCTCTAGGATCAGTTTCATAAATTGACCACTTTTATGGATATTCCGGATCTTCTGGTGAACAATCCCGTGGTCCCCAGAGTCCATATTCCAGTCACAACTCCGAATACATTCTGATAAGACGTTTAAGAGTGGTTTAAAAAAAAACGCGGAGCTCTAGGATCAGTTTCATGAATTGACCACTTCTATGGATATTCCGGATCTTCTGGTGAACAATTCCGTGGTCCCCAGAGTCCATATTCCAGTCACAACTCTAAATTAATTCTGATAAGACGTCTATGAGCGGAGCTCTAGGATCAGTTTCGTGAATTGACCACATTTACGGATGTTCCGGATCTTCCGGTGAACTATCCCGTGGTCCCCAGGGCCCATATTCCGGTCACAACTCCAAATTCATTCTAATAAGACGTTTATGAGTGGTTTCGAAAAATCCGCGGAGCTTTAGGATCAGTTTCATGAATTGGCCACTTTTACGGATATTCCGGATCTTCCACAGGATCAGAATTGTGTCCTACCGGAAACTGAATCGTCCCAAAAGGTGGCCAACTTTCTGCTTAACAACTTCTTAAAAGACATCAGGAAGTTATCTCTTCAAATTGCCGTACAATCAGTGTTTGGTCCCAATTAGCTCTAATCCCTATGCTACGTGTATTCGTTAATGCCGGATCGACCGTACTATAGGAATCCAGTGGATTCAGTACTATAGCAATCCGGCAAGAACGAATCCGCACTATAGGAATCTTGACTGTATATGGCTATGGCAATGTTTTGGAGTCATAATTAAATACATAAATATTTGTTATGTAAGCTGTTACAGAAATGGCTTTGTCCAAAATTTTCTAGTTGTTTCGATCCTTTTTTTAATCTAAAATCTATATTTTTATTGCATGATTTTTCAATCAATTTCCATATGAGATCTTTAACTTCACGTAATTTTAAGTAAAATTATTACAATCAAACACCAACAATTTGGTTGTAGATTTTTTTGTACACTCAGGCCATCCCTTATAAAAAAATACCATACACGAACGATAACCCAAATGATTGAACTATTCCACAAATAGTTTGGATGATACCCCGAACACGTTGGAGGCGAACCAGCTGAAAGCCTCATTAATAAAGATAAATCAATCAATCAACCCCGAGAAGCAAATTAACAATAACATTTTTATTAGCGATTACAAAAAATTTCAAAGTTTTTATCCCTTGGCTGTCTCGCGATTCGCGAGTTTGGAGTGACGTTTGGAAAGCGGACAAAAAAACGCATTCGTACGAAAATGGGAATAGCAACATCGTTCGAACGAACGATGTTCGAAAGTTAGAATTGCTTCGAACGAAAACGGGAATGGGAAATTGCTTTCGTTTCGAACGAATCCTGTTCGTACGAAAACGGGAATAGAGGTGATTAATTAGTTATTTTCTCCTGCTCGGGATCTGACATATCTTCAGTTACGCCTAAACGTAAGAACTAGTCCCGCCGGTCATAAAGTCTCCAACTAACATCCTTTACACTTAAAACTATTTGTAGCTTGCCTGCCCTTGAATAAGAAAGAATGTCTTCTTATCTGTCACCAGACAATAACGCGTCCGCGCTTAAAACCTTACTGGAGATTACTGGTTCTGCTATTGTGGATATGTCATTTCATAATAACACATTGCAAATTTCCATAGTGACTCAAAATTGATCTAATTATTATTAAACTTCAATCTATCAACAAACGTGATCACTCAAATATTTTAGTATTTACAATTAACTCCGGGCTGCCAATTATGACGTTCCTATTATGGTGTGTTCCAATTATGTCCTATGGAATTCCCATATGCAATAATAGAAACGTATAGTGATAACTGGTACGTCCACTCCATTTGATAACCTAATCCATCCCAAGGTCATGTAAAGCCAGCACCATTGTCTTCTCTATCGCACACAGTCCTCAAGTAACCTAATCCAAATGCGGCAATATCACTTCGTCAACGACGTCCGTGTTCAAATGCCACTCGAAATGTTTTACTCCAGGCACAGTGATAAGTTTCAACCGACCACTCTTATCCAGTGTTCTCAGTCCAATCCGATCTTCCAGGTAGATTTTCCTTTGCTTGCACGGAATCACATCATCGGTTCCATTGTAATACCCGAAGTGGCTCGACTCCCACGGAGTAATAACTCCATCATCTGGGCCTCCGATCAGAATTAACTGATCCAACTGCAGCATCGAGTCCCGGAACAAGGTCGAATTCGTCGATGGCAGATCGTTGTTGATGTATGGCAGAAATATACTGAATTGCTCAAACAGGTCCTGATGATGCGGATCGTTCCAGTAGTTGCCGACCGAAGTGTGCTGTCCGACGTAGGTATAGAACAGCTGATAAGCTGTTTTCGCCACCAATGCCGGGAAAATCAAATGCAAGAAATCGGCTGAAATAACAAGTCAATGATAAGCATCGTAATGGTGATTGATAAGAATAAAACGCAATTATAAACTTACTCCCAAACTGCCCGGCCTGTGGTGAGCTTAGCGATATGAACTTTTTCACGCAATGATCAGGATATGTTTGCAGCACTGCCCGAGCTATCAGTCCTCCTTGGGAGTATCCCAGGAGTATCACTCCATCCGGATGTTTTTGGCATATATCCTGCAGGTCACTATTTAATTCCAATACCTGATGCCAAGCATTCTCCAAGCTGGACCATCCCTCGAATCGATCAGCGTTGTACACAACTGTTCCCGGGTGATGCTATCGTAAGATCCAGAATATACATATGAAATCATCATTTCATTCAGACTTCCGCCTAATTAACGCGTATTTACCCTTTGTATTTCGTCCACCACGAGCAGCATACTGTCCGCCCCCGTCAGGATTCCATGCATTATCACTACCGGTCTATAGGCACTTATGATACTTAAATTTACTAGTAAAACAGCACAAACACATAATCGATACATTTTAAGAGCTAAATTTTGGGTTCGGAATCACAGACTTGAAGTGGATATGGATTGTAGAGACCAGGAAATGTCGCCCGACGCGATCGATCGATGGATGTGTTCTTTCTTTGTTTTGGGTGGTTGTGTACTGCACTGTCGCACGTCGAACAGACCACGACGTAGACGACCAGCTGCTTTCCATCATTCCTATTCTGCGAGTCGGGTGACTTTTGTCTATGTCGCAAATCAAATGGACAGTCACATCACTAGAGGGTCACACGACTCGCAGAATAATCCTACATTCCTTCTACGCAAGATACAAACAAATTTGTTTACGTTCACTTTAACCAGCTGTAGGAGGTTCTCCTTAACTCAAGTAACAAAATGCATTTTTTTATGATACCTGCTTTACACAAATTAATTTTAAATGACGGATTTTTTATGAGATATTTATGCTAAAAAAAGTGAAAAAAAAATCCAATATAAATGTGTAGATAAATACTTTTCCGTTGTTTTGGAGAAAGCTTCGCAGAGAGTGAGTTCAATGATTATCTTCAAAAGCTTCAGACGGTAAAGAAAAAGCGCATGCAAGCGGTTGAAAAAGAGCTTTTCTATTGCAAAGCTTACTCGAACGTTTGCTTTGAAATGTTTCTTTACAGGCGTTACGGCACAGACGGCTATGCATTAAAAAAGCAAGATCAGATTCATTTATGGTGGTAAGCTCCAACCGGTATTATCCTCGGATTAAATCCTGATCAAGAATGTCCGGCTGGTTTGATGTCGACATCAGAGTTAATCAACATAACTCTGAGCAAACATTTTTCAGATCATACAAACAGGGACGGTATTAAAAGTTAATCCGAGTTGGAGCTTACCGCCATTAAGGTAGCACCAGTAGTTCTCAACCATGGCTGAATTCAGAAAGAGACGACACGTCAAAATTTAAACAATCGGTCTTGGACAAACTCATTCCAATCTGGCAGAAAATCTGCCAAATGGATGAGGTGTCGCCTCTTTACCAAATTTAGCCTCTTTAGTCTGGACGGGAATTTTATGCTCGTCATGGGATGCATTTAAAACATTCCATAATTGTATGTGATAATTGGCTAATTGAAAAACAAATTTGTTTCAGCCTCAGGTAGTGTATATACAATTTTTGAAAAAAATTAGGGTGATGCCAAAAATGGTCCCCAAGAGGCATTGCATTGGAATTGTAAATTGTATTTTGCGTTTGAAGCTGGCCTCTTCAAAAGTACATAATCTATCTATCTATACATTTAAAAATGGATTTCTGCCTCACTTATTTTTTTTTTATGTTTTGTGCTAACGTAAGAACTACACGACATCCACAAGACGCGACGCGAGACAAGACACAACACTTATCGTTCTTACAACTTTAAAATAAATTAAAATTTACCTTACTGTCGACCGGTTTCGGGCGTGATGCTGCCCATCTACGGGACAATGTCGGACATTGTCCCGTAGATGGGCAGCATCACGCCCAAAACCGGTCGACAGTAAGGTAAATTTTAATTTATTTTAAAGTTGTAAGAACGATAAGTGTTGTGTCTTGTCTCGCGTCGCGTCTTGTGGGTTTCTGTCTGTCTGTCTGATCTTTATAGACTCGGAAACTACTGAACCAATCGGAGTGAAAATTTGTATACAGGGGTTTTTGGGACCGGGAAAGGTTTTTATGATGGTTTGAGACCCCCCCCCCCCTCTGTAAGGGGGGCTCCCATTCAAATGAAACAGAAATTTCTGCATAACTCGAGAACTAATCAAGCACCTGGAACCCAATTTGGCATGTTGAGGTATAAGGAGATGGTCATAGGGGGTTAACTCCTAAGATAAGAGGGGGGGGGGGCTACGTACAAAAGCATGTTTTTTTTTATATCGGCGTATAAACTCAAGCTAATATTGAATCTCGAGCAAGGCCGGGCACACTCAGCTAGTCGCCTATAAAAGTGCACTTTTACATTGTATCGTCGTGGTGTCTTCCGTGCACTCATGCCGTATGAATCAAGAAATAAGAGAGCCGAAGACACCAAATTGCTTTAAGCAAAAATGTTTACTACTCAAATAAAGTGCTCAAAAAGTGTAAAAACATTCTAGCAGACATCAAAATGCTACACTCAATAGTTTCGTAGCAAATTGCAATAGATCTTTTTGTTGTTTAATCGTCTTTCTCTATCTAGAACACATATATACATACATCTATAAATGAATGGACGGTTTGTTTTCCCTTTTGTTCGCACTCGTTCGATTTAAATGCACACTACATCAATTACACGTCAAAAAGCTCTATGTCCCACTTTTTTTTGATTTCGTCCCACTATGGAGGTTTTTCCGGCTTCTATTAGAAGGTTTTTTCGAGCTTCTTCTGGCTTCAAAATTTTCAATTAACCATTTCATTCGAGCAGGTTAAATGACGTTTGCTACCACTCGAACTTTGAAATAAATCATTATTTTGTATTTTTTTTTTTTCGTCTAGAACCACGAGAAAAGTAGCCAACATTTGTGCGTCTCATGAAAAATAGAAATTAGTTGGTCCAGTTTTATGAAATCGCTGGTAGAAAGTCACGCCAAAACTGCTTAACAAAGTGGTCAATTATTGGCCCATCTACGTCACTTGGCTTTTTTCAATGAAATGAAAAAAAAAATTAATGTTGGGCCGTTTTAGCAACCGGTGGAAACTAACGATTATAAATTGGCTAACTACTTGACTAGCCATTGGTCCCAAGTACATCTATAAGCGTATCCCATTCTAGTCGAAATTCTAGTACTACACTATGTTTGTTTTGATTCGCAGTAGTTGACATAGGTAAATATGTAGTGTTACAATCTACCCAGGTAACCAAAAGTCCCGCATTCAACGATAAAACCACAAACGAAGTGACAGACGACTAACTGGCGAAGAAATCAATTAAAATAATGTGGTTCGGTGTTATAGAATTTTTGACGTAGAACTACGTCTTTGTCGACTATACTGGGGTGCAAATCAAAAAATATGTGTGGTGAAATAGTGTTAGGTTTTGAACGCTATTAACTTTGTCATTTATAGATGAAATTAAAATCCAAGTATGCCAATCGATAGGATATAACATTACAAATCTGCTGAAATAAATATTTTTCAAATTTGCCATACAAAGTCTTCTGAAAAATGTACAAATGATAATGTTATCATTGTTTTCATGAAATAAACGTATCTCCCAAACCCAGACGACATAATCGAGTACCACTTGGTTGCACATCGTTCTGCTTGAACCTGAAAAGATATAAAACAGCGCTGCTGTCGTGCCTCTGCTCATGATCATTCTCTGCTGGTCCGTCAAGCAGTTCAGTTCGGTCTTTGCTCGCTCTGTCGAGTTGTTCGATAAGTTTCAAGTTTGATTCAAACGTTCGCAGGTGTCGGTCGCAACATATGACAGTGTCAGTTTCTATTGTAGTCGATGTCGATGTCGCATTAAGTGCTCATTGATCACAGCAAAATAGCTCAAAATTGATCAACCCAATACAGTTATGTAGGTAAAATTCTGTCAATTCTTAACCATTACGTTAAATTTAAATACATTATCTCATGCGTAATATGGACGAAACATTGCAATACTTGAAAAATTTAAGATAAAGTATAATAGTCAAAAATGCATGACATACATCAAGTTTGCGTAGTTCTACGTCATACTGCGGTCGTACCCTTTCATTTTTTTAGAAGCTTGTGCCATCAGCCACCAGTTAGGCTAGTATTTTTGTTTTGATTTGAACATAGTTGATTTTGTGTGCAATATGATCTTTGACAGTGTGTCCAGCTTCGAACCTGTTCGGATACGGTTGTGTATAAGTTTATTTCTATTTTGTGCGTGAGTTCGCTGATTTTGCCAGATTAGCGCTGGCACTCTGCCTCCCGGACGGTTATACTTACGTGTGTGATTGGTGGTTTTCTCGCTTTCCGAGAAGTTTTGGAATCGAAAAAGAAAACGTGATGAATCATGTTTGCAGGCATCAGAAGAAATGTCGCTATCTGCGGTACAGAAATTTGTGGCGTCGCGTGTGATAGTTTTTGATTTCAGTTTGTTTACGCGTTGTATGATTTTGTGAGCGGTCGCTTCGTGTTCGCGTCATGGAGCAATCGACTACATTCGACCAGAGGATTGATCCCCGTAGGGCGGGTCTATGATCGGAGTTACTACACCAAGCGTGACATAGCTGCTTGCAAGGGATTCAGTTGGACTGATTTGGTGAGATTGTTCCATTTTTCTACTTTTGTCTATTTAAACTTAATTTCTATGAATGCGTATCGTTTGGAATCATTTGATTCGGATGAGACTCTTAACTTTTATTTGTTTACATTTTGTTTCAATTGGTATTCTTAAGAACTTCACAAAATAAGGTTTCAATATTTAAATTGAGCAGCTCGACTAGCCTGGTGGCTGCCACTTTTGCTTACTGAGTAGAAGACCGTCGGGGATCCACATTGTAAAGATTCCCTATTTTCAGCTTTTTTACAGGCTGGAGTTGTTGCTTGAACCATTTAGTTTATCAATTTAATTTATCTGTATAACAATTATTCACAAGCATTCTTCCAGGTCAATTCAAGAATAGTTTGATGATGATAAATCTTCCTAATATTCACATTACAGTTATGACCCGATCCTGTCAATCTCTCCGCGCATCAGACTGTTATTTTTCAATAATTCCACGTAATTGTAATTTCATACCTTCCTCCTTCAAGATGAATGTTTAAGATACACATATTTTGCTAGCTGACAAAATGGGGTCATTGCTGTATAATTATTCTCTTTTTGCAGCCTTCATTCAGACTGGATCTATTAATTTAAATTATTTGAGTTTTCTTCCAGCTCTTTGATGACGGAACATCATTAGATTTATACTGTAATGATTCACTCTTACAGCTTTCACCCTAGTTTTGTCTATTGATTTGATTTGTTTGAATTGGTTTTCAGCTCTTTGGTGTTGGCAGTCGCGGGCGATCAATTTTGCTCATGCTCATGCTCTAAGTTCATTTTCAGCATTTCGATGATGGAACGTCTTCAGATTTATATTATAATGGGGCTTATTACGGATGTCACATCACGGTGAAAAGTTGTCACTTGTCGTCACGGTGAAGTGATTCCCATTTGATTTGTACGGTAATCACGGCTCTTATTCTGAGTATCACTT